ATACCACCCAGAGCAATCTACAGATTCAATGCAATCCCTATCAAATACCAATGGCATTTATCACAGAATTAGACCAATAATTTAAAAATCTGTATGGAAACACAAAAGACCTCACATAGCCAAAATAATCTTGAGAAAGAACAAGGCTGGAGGAAGTCTTATGCTCCCTGATTTCAAACTATACTACGAAGCTACAGTGATGAAAAGTTTTATGGTACTGGAACAAAATAGCCCGGAAATGAGCTCATATTTCTATTGTCAATTAATTTATAACAAAGGAGGGAAGAATATACAATAGGGAAAAGATAGCCTCTTCAATAAATGGTGTTGGGAAAACTGGACAGCTATATGCAAAAGAATCAAACTGGGCTACTTTCTCCCACCATATACCAAAATCAACTCAAAATGGATTCAAAACTTAATAACACTTGAAACCATAAAAACCCCAGAAGAAAACACACGTAGTATGCTCTTTAACATTAGTCTTTCCAGTATCTTTTGGTGGAGATATGTATCCTCAGGCAAGAGAAACAAAAGTAAACAAACAATTGGGACTACGTCAAACTGAAAAGCTTTGGCACAGCAAAGGAAACTAAACAAAATGAAAAAGTTCTACTGAATTGGGAGAAGATATATCTGATAAGGGATTAATATCCAAAATATACAAAGAACTCTTAAAACCCAACTTCAAAAAAAAAAACCAATTGAAATAGGGGTAGAGGACCTCAAAAAGACATTTTTCCAAAAAAGACATACAGATGCCCAACAGACATATGGAAAGATGCTCAACATCACTAATCATCAGAGAAATGCAATCAAAACCACAATATCACCTCACATCTGTGTCAGAAGGCTGTCTTCAAGGCAAGTAACTAGTGTTGGTGAGCATGTGGAGGAAGGGAACCCTCTTACACTCTTGGTGGGAATGTAAATTGGTACAACCACCATGGAAAACAGCATGGAGTTTCCTCAAAAAATTAAAAATGGAACTACCATACAATCCAGTAATTCCACGTCTGGGTATTTTTCCAACAAGAACACTAATTCAGTTAGATATATGCACCCTTGTGTTCCTTGCAGCATTATTTACAATAGCCAAGATATGGAAGCAACCTGTGTCTATGGTGTGTGTGTGTGTGTGTGTGTATGTACATATATATATAATTCAGTCATAAAAAAGAATGAAATCTTGCCACTTGTGACAACATGGATGGACCTGGAGGGTATTTTGCTACATGAAATAAGTCAGAGAGAGAAAAAAATACCGTATGGTTTCACTTATATGTGGAACATAAAAAAGAAAAAAAAAAAAAAAAAAAAACAAAAAACAAATGAACATACATTATAAAACAGATTCCTAGATGCAGAGAACAAACAGGTCATTCTTACAGTGCAGGGGGCTGGGGGATGAGTGAAATAAGTGAGGGAGATTAAGAAGTACAAACTTCCAGTTGCAAAATAGAGTCATGGGGATGAAATGGACAGCACTGGGAATATAATCAATAATATTGTAATATCTTTGTATGATGACAGATGGTAACTAGACTTATTGTGCTTATCATTTTGTAATATACAGAAATATCAAATCACTATGTTGTGCACCTAGGAAAAAATTCAAATTTTAAAATGTTTTTTGGTATTCTACTTTACTGCCTCTATTGGCTTTACAGCCACACCTTATAAAATTCTCTAGTTGCTGTAAGGAATACATTTATTGCAGTTTACCTTAAATAACATACCACTTCCAGTGTAATATATACATCTTATAAATGTGTACTTCCATTCATCCCATTACTTATAATTATCACGTATTTTACTTCTACATGTCCTTAGTTCTTAATTTCTGCTTTAAATTTTCTTCTGGTTAAACACTGTCATTTTCATTTTAATAGTCAATTAGATTTTAAATAATTTAAGGAATTAGAAAAATAATTTAAAATTTTCATTTCTGGAATTTCTTTCCTTCATGTAGATATATGTTTCACCAGATATCACTACCTTCAATGTGAAGAACCTCCTTTAAGATTTCTTGTAGTGCATATCTCCTGGTATCAAATTTTTTCAGTTTTCATTATAGGATATTTTCACTGGATATAGAATTTTAGTTTGACACCCTTTTTTAAACTTCAGCACTTTAAAGACATTGTTCCACTGTCTTCTTGATTACATTTTTCTGGTAAGTTGTTCATTCTTCTTATTGTTCACTGCTATGTGTCAAACTCTGACTGCTTTTTAAAATTTCTCATCTTTTTCAGCAATTGATCAGTTTCCTTTTATTTATCCTGTTTACATCTTGAGTTTCTTGGATCTGTGAGTTTTTATTTTTTAAATCAAATTTGTAAATTTTTTAATCTTTATTTTTCCATATATATTTTTCTGCTCCCGTCACTCTTCCTCTCCTGGATCCAACTATACAGGTTAGACCATTTGTTATTTATCTCATATGTCAGGTTTTTTTTCTTTTTTTAAATCGTTTTGCTATGCTTTAGTTTGAGTAGTTCCAATTAACCTATCAAGTTCATTGATCTTTTTTTCTACAGTGTCTTGTATATTTTTATGCCCATGTAGTGAATTTTTCATTTAAGAATGTATTTTTCAGCTGTAGAATATATGGGTTTGTCTGTTTTTGTTTTTGTTGTTCTGAAATTCACCACCTATTCACTCAATGTAAACCTTTCTCTTTAATATTTTAAACATTTATATAGTAGCTTTTAAAGTGCTGTCTGCTATTTGTAACATCTGTGTCAACTCTGGATCTTTTTTTTTTTTTTTTTTTTTTTTGCGGTACGCGGGCCTCTCACTGTCGCGGCCTCTCCTGCTGCGGAGCACCGGCTCCAGACGCGCAGGCCCAGCGGCCATGGCTCACGGGCCCAGCCGCTCCACAACATGTGGGATCCTCCCGGACCGGGGCACGAACCTGTGTCCCATGCATCGGCAGGTGGACTCTCAATCACTGCGCTACCAGGGAAGCCCTCTGGATCTATTTTGATGGCTTTATTCTCTGGTTATGTCACACTTTCTTGTCTTCACACCTAATAATTTTTTATTGCATATTGTATAATGTGGATGCTGTGATGTTGCTAAGGATCTGGATTTTGCTGTCTTCCTTTAGAGAGTGTCCAGTTCTGTGGTGGCAGGCAGTTAGTTTACTGGCAAATACGTGTGATCCTGTTGAGGACTGGTTTTAGAGTAATGTGGATTTATAGTAACTGTATTCCCAAGGGTTGGCCTGTTTGGGGTCTCAACTGAATGCCTGGCTTTTTTTTTCTTTCTTTCACTTTAAAAAAAGATAAAGTTGAACGAAGTTCACATACTCAGACTGCTTAAAACACAGAGCCGTGACTAAATCTTATTTTTATTGTATTATTTTCAAAACCCCAAAGAGGTTCTGCTTTTTAATCATTCTTTCAAGAGCTAGACTTTTGAGGGATGAAAGAGATGCCCACATCATGGTATGACTAGTAAAAATATTTAGTGCTTTCCTCCCTCCCTGAATAGGTAGTTGATACTGATGAATAATGAAAGATTTGGAATTATGGGACAGAAATTGATCAACTTAAGAGTACAAGAGTATATTACATCAGAGAATAAGCTTTAATGTTACATGCAACATAGGACAGCTAGGTCTGAGAGAGAATTGAGAAATGTGAGGTTGCTAAAAATGAAATTATTCACCAGGGCCTTTAGGGCCTTTAGGGCCCTTCTGAAGTTTTATTTTCCTTGAAGTCTTTTTGTACGTGTATGTGAATACTCTCATTGCAAAAATGCTATTGGTCGGGTAAAAGAAAACTTTTGAGACACAAGGGGATGTCAACAGTTTTTATCCTTCCCTAGAAACCATCTTTATAACAATGTCATTTTCAATTTAGAATCGACATTAAGAAAAACATCCAATCCAACTCATTCAGAACTCAAAAGAACAAACAAGAAAGTGCTCAATCAAGTGCATGAAAGGATGTTATACCATATCAATAGATGTGAAACTAATCTGAAAAAGTTACCATTATAAAAACTGGGTAAGTCATTTCTAAAACCAAGTTAATCATACATGACAGTTATCAAGAGTGTAAGAATTCATCTGAAACAGCTAGTTGTAGATGTCTATTCCAAACAATTCTATTTTAAGGTGAATTGTTATTCTGTAAGCACATAACATTGCAATAACATGAACAGAAAAATACTTTTAGTCCATTTTTTAATACTAAAAAAAAAAAAAAGAGGGACTTCCCTGGTGGCACAGTTGTTAAGAATCCACCTGCCAATACTGGGGACATGGGTTTGATTCCTGGTCCAGGAAGATCCCACATGCCACAGAGCAACTAATCCTGTGTGCCACAACTACTGAGCCTGCGCTCTAGAGCCCGCGAGCCGCAACTACTAAAGCCCGCGCACCCAGAGCCTGTGCTCCGCAACAAGAAGCCACAGCAATGAGAAGCCCACGCACTGCAATGAAGAGTAGCCCCCACTCACTGCAATTAGAGAAAGCCCGTGCACAGCAACGAAGACCCAATGCAGCCATAAATAAATAAATAAATAAATAAATAAATAAAATAGAAATAGACTTTGAATAAACACATTCCAGGTGAAATAAATTTTACCAAAAAAAAAAGAGAGAAAAAGACTTCAGAAATTCAATTTGCCATGGAGAACTTCACAAGTAACACTTTTCTTGTCTAATACTAAATTTCTGGGGATCTGCATGAAAACACAAGACATTAAGCACACCTAAATATAAATCAAGATAGAACATAATTCAATAAATAACCAAAGGATTAAATGCTATGTCATCTCCAGTGAACAAATTTCAAAGTAATCACCTTGAGAATAGAAAAGACAGGTTTTAACTTTTTCAATTTTAATGTTTAATAATTCTGGTAATACTCAAAAAGTATTGCAATATTGTAAGTACTTATGCCCAAATATCTTAAGTTTCAGTGACAGAACTTAACTCAGTGTTCACAAAGGAATAAATTGTTCCATTCAAAATTTACTGAACTGCAAATAGTATTATGCTAGTTAACTAGAGAATATATCTCTAAAAAATATCTCAGCAGGTTCCTGGATGTCTCAGTATATGCCAACATTATTGGACTGTTTAAATTAGAAGCTGAAACTATGAATTACCTGTCAAGGTTTCAACAATAAAAATTTTAAAAGCCCATATTTGTTAATAAATTAGATTTATACAATTGATAATTTCAAAATAAATAAAACCTGAGTAGTATATGCCCTCTACTTCCACCCACCCTCAGCATCTATCTGTACCTTCTTACATCCCATTTTCTTTTAGACCGGTGTGTCTCAAGCTTTAATAAGCATACATATTCCTTGAGGATCTCATTAAGATGTAATTTCTGATTCAGTAAGTCTGTTGTGGGTCCTGAGAGTCTACCTTTCTAACAAGCCAGAAATGAAGCTGATGCTATCTTTGAACCACCCTTTGAGCAGCAAGGTGACCCAATATATAAAGTGAGGGAAACCTCTGGCCTAATGACTGTGGTTTTATAGATTCAATGCTGTCATATTTTGTAATCAAACATAAATAAGCAACAATGATCACAAAAAATGTCTTGGAAGAAAAGAATGTTTTAGTTAAGTGAGAACTTAAAGTATACCAAATTGGCAGTGTTTCTATTTGTCTGACAATTGACACCTTTGATACATTATAATGTAATTAGGACACCAAATTCTGGTAACTTTAAAAAATAGTTACTATAGCTTGAGGCTCTCTCAGTTAATTCAAGTTCAGAAAATTCAAGCCAGTACACTGTAAAACCACTATTAAAAATCTTTAATGGTAAAGTGTTCATATAAATTACTTGTAAACCTGCTCTAAGCTATCCCATCTCCTCCTCCTCTTTCAACAAATAAATGCTGCTTTTTTTTCTTCTGTCTTGTAGCTAAACAGCGTGTAACACCCAGTGCCCCTCCCTTTAAAAATCGAACAAAATTGTCTCCAACCAAAGGACCCAATGCAAAAAGGTTGGCTTCTTTAACACACTCATATGTATATGCATCTATTTCCACAGGATTACCCTTACATGTGATTGGCTGGCTTGAGTTGTGGCCCAGGTAACACCCTTGCTCCTTCAGAAAGGACAGATTGGGATGAGAACCTATCAATACTACTGCTGCAGAGAGCTTAAATATTTTTTTTAATCCAGAGATATTTTGAAGAATGCATTTCATGTCCGACTTAAAGGAAAGCACATGGTGCTCAGGAAAACTGGTATAATCAGATAAAAGATTTGAGTCTAAAGAATATGACTGAGTACACATCATATGATAGACTTTATGGTATTCTGGATAAAGCTTTTTGGGAAGCTGTTTGAAAATTAAGCTTGGATCAGTTACTCGTCTGCGAAATACATGAATCACAGGGACATTATTGTTGTAAGCACACAGTACTGCATCAGCTGCGGTAAGCCCAGAACCTACAATTAACACTGGATCCACTTTGCCACACAACTGTCCTTTGCTTATAGCGGCTCCAAATTCAGGCATTGAATGAAACACAAAAGGAAAATCTTCCCCATCAATTTCCAAACGGCCAGGAGAATCCAATGTTCCGGTTGCCAGAGCTACATTTTCAGCAAAGAGACAGAAGGGAATATGGGAACCATCTCTTATTCGCTGATAACCCCTGATTTCCCAGTTTCTCTTGGTAAATTTTGACTTCTCTATCTGTAAATGCTGTGTTGAAATATCTCTGTCTTGACCATCATTATCAACTTGATCTCTGTAGAGTCTTGATACAGAGGTAATGTAAGTATTCTCTCTGAAATTCTTCTGAAGACCCATGACTTTTACATAATGTTTATAGTAGCGAGCTATTTCCTCTGGCATAACTCGATCCCCTTTTAGGTTCCTATAAAAAGAAAAGGAAATATATTCTATGAGGATAATACTTTTAGTTTCCATGATTAGCACTTCTCCATCTAGTAAACTATTACATCTTTTTAATTCCTCTGGACTGTCCAAGCTAAAGCTAACACTTACCATAACACTTTACAAAGAAAGAAAGCCTTTCCTTTTCTTTAAAAATGTTAATAAATTAGTTTATCAATGGAGGAAGTCCCATGAGGGTAGAGATTGTATTTAATGCATCTTTGTTTCCCCAATGCCTTGTATAAGTATCTGTTCAGATTAGCTGCCTTTATCAATAAACTTTTATTAAATAAATGGATTAAAATGTGGATATCTGAAAATTAGATTATTTTAGTCTATGTCACAATTGTAATCTAAATAATTCAGTCTATAGCTATACTATTCAGTCTGTATTCTATTTAACTATTGACTGAATTGTTTACAACCATTGAGATATTACAGGTCTGACTGCAATACATATACTTCTCAAACATAATATCTAGACACGATTTTTAATAAGTTGCTTTCTGTTTTCCTAATGACCAAAAATAATTCAGATCAGTCTTTTGCTGAACAAAATCATATTTAAGTAGATAACAGTTCTCTCTCTGTGTTTTCCTACTCATAAAGAGATCTATAAATATAAGCTGCTCTTTATGAAAAAAGCACGTTAATACATCTTTTATTTTTCACTTGAAATTTAAAGCAATGGGCATTAGTATCCTTAAACAATGCCCCAATTAGAAGTAAGTAGAAATAAAAACACCAAATCAGGGAATTCCCTGGTGGTCCAGTGGTAAGGACTCCGTGCTTTCACTGCCGAGGGCCGGGGTTTGATCCCTGGTTGGGGAACTAAGATCCCATAAGCCATGCAGTGGGGCCAAGAAAACCCAGAAAAAAACACCAAATCATTTCACATAATTCAGTGTAACTTGTAACTGGAAGAAGTTCAAAGTTTAATGACTAATAATTAAGATTTAGAATGTATTAACTCTCAATTTGTACAGAAACCCTATGTAATAGTTACTATTATTATTATCTTCATTTTGCAAACTAGGAAGTTGATAGCTAGTTTAAGTTATTTGACCAAGGTCATAACATTAGAAGGTACAGAGTCAGGATTTAAACCCTGCCAATCTCTAGAGGTCTAAGAGTCTTAACACTATGCAAGGGCAGGAACTAAAGCTAATATTTATCACAAGATTCATTTTCACATATTACTTAAACACACAATATGCTCAATTTAGAAGGATGAACACTCTGGTATGTAAATCATAAAGCTTTCTTTCCCTTTCTTACCCACATCATAAAGGGAAAAATATGTTGAGCAATTTCACTTTCTTACTTATGAAAATCAAGAACTTGTACAATTTGCCTGATTTTGCAACTTAACATTTCAAACCCATATAAAATTCCTTTTTAAAAACCCAAAAGTCATATTTGAAAGGTTTAAATTTACTCTGGTCTAAATTTACTTTCCTTAAATCTTCTTAAATTAAGGATAATTACTGTAGATTAACATGGTTTCTATCTAGCAGAAAGTCAAGCATTCAAACATTACAGCCCTGTTCTAACAAAGGTTGAGTAACTTCCTGCTTTAATTTATTGTTTCTGGCAGCAAAGTAGAGTAGATTCTGTGTATTAGTAGTTCCTATCTATAGGAATGAAAATGGCTTGAAAATGATAGGGCTTTTCATATTTCTTTTTAAATTTTGGGTTCTTTCTCCCAAATAAATACAAAATAAACTTTTATTCTTTCAAGTTGAGATTTTCATATTTTCTTTGTTTTAAAATTAATTTTCATTGAGGTATAGTTGTTTTACAATGTTGTGTTAGGGGATTTTCATATTTTCTATTCTCATATTTTAGTATTCTTATTAAATATTCACCTCTACAGCCAAGTAGGCAATCACATCATGGATTCTATTTTATTCCATCATTCTAAATTATTCATTATATATATTCTGGTTTCTCTTCAGATCATATAAATCTTAAGCGTTTTAAAATTATTCATTATATATACTCTTCTACTCTGAAAAGTCAAATACTTTAGGTATGTATACATGAGATATGCATACATGAAGTTATATATCCATTCATAAAAATAAGTTATATATATCCACTCATAAAAATAAGTAAATAAGGAAAGGATATGTAGGTGGACAAGAAAGTAACAAAACAGAGTGGTTTAACAGGAGAGTGGGATAAAACTATGATTAACAATCTGTAGACAAGCCCTTACTTCTGTGTGCTTAGTTTTATAAAATCTCTAAATAGAAACTAGCTCATAACCACTGCTGCAAAGAGGTTTTATTTGAAAGACACATGCATCAATATTATTCATCTAAGACAGGATCACAGCTAGTTTGAGATTTGCTGACAGACTCCCATTGTACACCAAAATTTTAATAGTTTTATCTTTACCTTCGTTTGCTAGATACCCAATCTTTAAATTTAAGTCCAGGTAGCTCCATCCAATTTCCAAAGCTGATTGTCAACATCGAGCCTTCCATATTCTATTTGAATAAAAAATGTACAATCAAAAAACACATTTTATCAGTAACAAGGTTTTTTTTTCTTTTTTTTTTAACCAAAGCCATCTCATTTACTATAATTAAGTCTGGATAAGCAGAGCTCTAATAAATCCTAAATGGTTGTGTAAATTACCTCTGGAAATTTATTCCAATTAACTTTCAAATATTTTCAACACTTGGTAGTATCTATATTCCTTCTTTCATGTAACTATATATTTATAAATCAGATTTACAATATTACCCAATGCCTATAATCAACATAATTAGATGCAGAATATCGTGTTAGAGGAGCAAATCAGTATTTTCATTTTAAACAAAAGGGGAAAAGTTCATTCATTTCTAACGCTTTAAATGTCTTTCCATTTTAATATTATTAACAAATCTTTTCTTTTTTTTGCGGTACGCGGTCCTCTCACTGCTGTGGCCTCTCCCGTTGCGGAGCACAGGCTCTGGACACACAGGATCAGCGGCCATGGCTCACGGGCTCAGCCGCTCTGTGGCATGTGGGATCCTCCCGGACTGGGGCACAAACCTGCGTCCCCTGCATCGGCAGGCGGACTCTCAACCACTGCGTCACCAGGGAAGCCCAAGAAATTTTTTTAAATGGGCAGCAAAATGGCTTCCCCCCCCACCCCAATCAATTATGATTGTGAAGTCTAAGCTGGTTTCAATATAGCAGGCATCGCTTTCTAAAACTAGGGAAATAAGTTAGTGGTTGCCTGATTAAGAACAGACTCACTGCTGAGGCTAATGCTGCCTTTAAGGAAGTGAGCCCCTTCAAGCTTGCCCTACTTCTACTTTGCTCAGTACAAAGCAAGAAAAGTCCAAGGGCCAAAAGCACCTTTCCCAATGATCTCTTTCAACCAACTCTTTTAGGCTATGCCTTCTTTTATCTGAACACTTCTTGTCCTGTTTCTACACAGCCCAGTATTGGGAATGGGACTTGTTATTATTATTAGCTAACATTTACAGAGCACTTACTATGTGCTACGGCTTATAAAGTCATATTATTTGTGACAGTACAAGATCACCACAGGAAGAGAATGTAGCAAGTTGCCACTGCTTTGAAGCAGGCTGGGCCTGATACTAGGATTAGAACCAAGTTTCAGGTATATATCGCTTTAGCACTGATTCAAATATGTTTTTAGTAATCAAGGCTTATCCATACTTTAACTTTCCTGAATGTAAGTGGGAGAAATGAAGTAACAGAGATCAAATATTGCCTGCACATTTTTCCAAGCAGAAAATATATATGTACAATAAAACCTCAGGAATTTATAGAAGGTTCTCTAAAAACTTAAAAAATATATTATGGCTTTTCCAATAAATGCAGTTTTATTAAGAATGCTACTTATTAACAAAGCAAATATAAACATGTAAGCTAAAAGGCACAGATATTTTGATAGTTGCTATCCATTACTATAAAGGTAATTAAGATGAAAAAGTCAGTGATATAATCTATAAAGTCCCCAAATACTCTGAAACAATCGTTTGATAAATGTAAACAACTTTTAGCCATATAACATTGCACTAATATAGGAATATCCAACTGAAGTTTATACTAAAGATTTGATATTTAAAGTTAAAATTCCCATGAAGTCTTTATTTCATAACACAGCAAAAATTATTTAACATTTATTTGTACAAGTGAGCACTCACCACACACTAGACACTGTACTAACTGCTAAGGACACAGGAGTGAAGAATAATTATTAGTTGCTGCCCGCTAATGAAATATGCTGAATCTTTATGTTGATAGTCCTCTGGTTTAACCTCTGCTATGGACTGAATTGTATCACCCCCCCAAATCCACATGCTGAAACCCTAACCCCTCAACGTTATGGCACTTGGAGATGGGGCCTTTGGAAGGTAATTAGGGCTAGATGAGGTCATGAGGCTGATGCCCTCATAACAGGATTAGTGGCTTTACAAGAAGAGAGTTCACACTCTCTTTGCTACATAAGGATATGCAAGAAAGCAGCTGTCTGCAAGCCAGAAAAAGAGCCCTCACCATAAACTGAATCATCTGGCACCTTGATCTTGGACTTTCCAGCCTTCAAAGTGTGAATCTGTTGTTTAAGACACTCAGTCTATGGTATTTTATTTTAGCAGCCCAAGCAGACTAATACAAACTTTTTTCTTTTACATTTTTCATTTAAGATCTTGAAAATGTAGGGAAATAATACATATTAGAATGAAATACTGTGTGAAATTTTGTAAACTCTACAATGAATAAATGAATTAAAAATGTTGTACTATGCAAAACATCTTGAAATATTTTCTGTATAATTCTTAGAGAAACACTTATTCTAAGACATTATCACTAATCAAATTTGGCTTAATTTCTACTAGTAATTAATTCATATTTATCCAAACACATTAAAATTCTCAGATAAAGATGTGGTAATCATCATATATAATATTATATCATAATGTTTAAGAATCAAAATGGTCTTATCAAGATGACGTATAATAATTCACATTCACTAAAATGCTAAGGAAAATATACTCACATGCCAAGCTCCACCAGGTGGACCTTTACCAAGAACTAAGTGAGGGATATAATGATGCTGTTCCAATTTCCAATGCAAAATGGATGGATAATCATACCCAAAGTCAGCATCTGGATGAAGAAGTGCGTCGAAAAGTACTGCAACAGGATTGGATGATCGACCCTCAAGGCCCTCAGACAAGTACTCTAAGTCCTGAATTTTTTTTTTTTAAAGAAAGAAAAAAGGCAGATAGAATTTGGAAAAACAAACAAAAAAACTCCGGCTAACATAATAATAGTGAAGACCATTATTGTAATCCAGCATTTCCTATAGAGTGTGCTACAAAACACTGACATTCCTTGAGATCTTAATAGATTCTCTGGTCAAATAAGTACGGGAAAAGGTTGGGTTTCAAAAAGCTAATCAGATCATTTTACTATAAAACTTGAAGATGCCTTTAATATGCTAGTATGCCTTACTATGTCTACCATGACACTCTAATAATAAAAAGCAGCATTTCCCAAACTTACCAGAGCATAGAGCACCTATTAAACTCCATCAGGAAATAATTTGTGAAATTCTGCTCTAATTAATTCAGGAAAATAAATGGAAGCAACTCAGCAGAATATATTTACAATTCTAAAATTAAAATGTTAGGTGTTACTTAGAAGAAAAGGTTTTCAGCTAAGAAATACAATGCTTATATAGTAGAAAACTAACCTTGTCTCAGTATAAATAAATTTAAAAGCATCAACATGTGAAAAATAATACCTGATCAACAATGGAAAGATGTCTCGCTTCTTCTAATTTGCTATGTAAGATTGTGTTTGGATGTATTGCTTCTGATGATAAATATGGTCTGTAGCCTGACAGCATATAAGAAAGGCAGATTCCTGAGGGTCCATTTCCTATTAAAAAAAAAAAAGGTGGAGAGGGGTGTATCTTGCATCTTAATACTCATGTTCTTTGGCTTTTCTGTTTCACAGATGGTTTTTCTCCTTCACCAATTCTTCTTTCTCTAAACTCTCAAAGCCAAGTATTCACAAGAGAAGATTTTTGTCTTCTCTCCTATTTTCTTTTGGGAGTCTCACCTACTCAAAGCTTCAACTCTCTATGCTACTAACCCTCAAAATTAGATATCTAGGCTGACCTCTTACCCCAAAAATATATCCCAAATTTCCATATGCCACTTCTTCACCTCACTGAACCACTAATAACTTAATCACAATGTGTTCAAAAGCAAATTCATGAGTTCTTCCATTTTGGTGGCCTCTCCTTTAAACCTCATTCCTTTGCTGGTATGATACTTACCAGGAAAATCCTAAGTTAATCAGGTTCTGGTTTAAACGTATTTTGTCACCTATATCCATTCAGTTGCCTTTGTTATTCTCACTCATATATTCTCACTCAGAAGACAAAAATCTCTTCTTGTTCCTCTTCAAGATTCACCTACTTCAAATCATTTCACATTCTACATTCAAATGAGTTCTCATAACAGAGTTCTCATTATGTTACCCGCGCTATGTTACCCACTCTACCCAAAGCCCTTCATTGCTTGTTTCTTCTATCCAGTGTTCTCCATGTTCTGGTCTCAACCATCTTTCAAGTCCCACCTCTTAATAATTTCCCTCTTGTATTTCTATATCCTTTACCCAAAACCAAACTGGATTTTTTGTTGTTGTTGAACTCCAACAACTACTTTGATTTCTGTAGTTCTTTTAGTCTGGGTTGCCACTTCTCTATTATATCCATCTACCAAAAATTTAATCTATCTGGGACAACTGTAAGCCATCAGAAAAATATCCTGTTCCTTGTCTAATATTTTGCCCCAAATAAAATAAGCTCAAAGATATAAACATGAAAAGTAACATCATAATATTAGGAAAGAGGTTAATATTTCTACTTATAATGCTGTAGCAAGAAGCCTTTAAGTACAACACAAAACTCAAAAGACAGAAAGGAAAATAAACCATTTGACTTCATAAAATTTTTTTTAAATGGCAAATACTGGGAGTTAAGATCTGAGGTAAAGAGCTAATTTCCTTGAATCAAAAAGAAAGAGACAAAACTAAAGAAAAATCATGATACCAACAGAAATAGAAAACAACATTTGAGAAAACCCAACACTTATTCATGTAAAAACTCTCAACAAACAACAGAGGGGAAATTCCTTAACTCGACAAAGAGTATCTACAAAAATCCTACAGCTAACATCATAATTAATGGTGAGAAATTAGGGGGGTTTTCCCTATAAGATCAAGAAAAGGATGTCTCTTCTCACCATTCCTACTCATCACACACCTTAATGGAAATCCCAGCTAATGCACTAAGACTAGAAAAGGAAATTAAAGGTATACAGATTGGGAAAGAAGAAACAAAACTGTCTTTGTTTGTAAATGCCATGATTATCTATGTCAAAAGTCCCAAAGAATTTACCAAAAAAAACCTCCTGGAAGTAACAAGCAATTATGTTGCATGAAAAAGGTTAATATATACAAGTCAATTGCTTTCCTACAGACCAGTAATGAACAAGTAGAATGTGAAATTAAATACACAACCCCACTTATATTTGCAAGAAATACTTGGGTATAAGTCTAACAAAATTCACATAAGATCTAAATGAGAAAAACCACAAAACTCTGATGAAAGAGATCAAAGAATATCTAATTGATGGAAAGCTATTCCATGTTCATGGATAGAATGATTCAATATTGTTAAGATGTCAGTTCTTCCCAACTTGATCTACAGATTTGATGCAATCAAAATAAAAATCCCAGCAAGTTACTTTGTGGATATTGGCAAACTGATTCTAAAGTTAAATGGAAGGGCAAAAGACCCAGAACTGCCAATATAATATTGAAGAACAAAGTTAGGGCTAATACCATCCAACTTCATCTTACTGTAAAACTACAGTCAATAAGACAGTGTGGAAATGAAAGAATATATAAATGAATGGAACAGAATAGACAGCCAAGAGATAGATCCTCACAAATACAGTCAACTTATTTTTGACAAAAGAGCGAAGGCAATGCAATGGAGAAAGGATAATCTTTTCAACAAATGGTACTAGAACAACTGGACATCCACATGTAAAAAATGTGAATCTAGATAATAACTTTATATCTTTACAAAAATGAATTAAAACAGATTATAGACCTAAATATAAAACATAAAATTATAAAACATCTAGAAAATAACTATGAGAAAATCTAGGTGACGTTGGGTTTGGTAATGAGTTTTTAGATATAACACCAAAAGCAAGATCTATGAAAGAAAAAAACTGATATGCAGGACTTCTTAAAACTTATGCTCTGCCAAGTAACTGTTAAGAGAATGAAAAGGCAAGTCACAGACTAGGAGCAAATATCTGCAAAACATGTATTTGATAAAGTACTTGTTTCTAACATATACAAAGAACTCTTAAATCTCAACCATAAGAAAACCACCAACACAATCAATTAAAAAGTAGGGAAAAGCTCTGTACCTCAAGGTATAGAGATGGAATATAAGCATATGAGAAATTACTCAACATTGTATATCATTACAGAACTGCAAATTAAAACAAGATACTACACACCTATCATAATGGCTAAACCCCAAAACACAGACAGTATCAAATGTTTCCAAGGATGTGGAACAACAGGAACTCTCATTCATATTTGCTGGGAATGCAAAATGATACAGTCACTTTGGAAGACAATTTGACAGTTTCTTAAAAAGCTAAACATAGTCTTACCATATGACCCAGCAATCACACTCCTAGGTGGGTTGAAAACTTAATGGCCATGCAAAAATCTGCACATAAATGTTTGCAGCACTTTACTCATAAATGTCAAACACTGTAAGCAACCAAGATGTGCTTCAATAAGCGAATGGATAAACTGAAACATCCATACAATGCAATAGTATCCAGTGATAAAAAGAAATGAGTATCAAGCCATGAAAAGACAGAGAGAAGGATCTTAAATGCATATTGCTAAGTCAAATAAGCCAGTCTGAAAAGGCTACATACAGTGATTCCATATATATGACATTCTGGAAAAGGCAAAACTATAGAGGTAGTAAAAGATCAGTTGTTACCAAGGTTTGATAGTTGAAGGAAAGGATTAATGGGTAGAACACAGGAGGTTTTTAGGGCAGTGAAACTATTTTATATGATGTTATAATACATGACATTATACACCCAGCAAAACCCATAGAACTGTACAACCCAAAGAGTGAACCCTAATGTGCACTATAGATTTTAGTTAATAATAATGTATAAAAACAGTGGTTCATCAATTGTGACAAATGGACCACACCAAAGCAAGATGTTAATAAAAGGTATAAAAGGGGGTTGGGAAGGAGAAGAAAAGGAATATATAATAAAGATGTTAATAAAAGGTATAAAAGGGGGTTGGGAGAGTATTTACAGAAATATTCTCTGTAATTTGTTTCATTTTCCTATAGACTTAAACTGCTCTAAATAAAGCCTATTAAAATAAATACTGACTATACGAAAAATAGTGGGAGTTAATATCTCAAAGAATCAAAAAGAAATAACACTCAAAAGACAATACAAAAAGAATACAAATAAACAGTTCATAGAGAAATATATACACAGGCAGAATGTGCCCCAACTCCCAGAGATTTCCCATTCCTAACCCCAAGAACCTGAGCGTGTTACCTTACAGAGAAAAACGACTTTGTAGATGTGATTAAATTAAGGACCGTGAGCTAGAGAGAGTAGCCTGGATTATCCAGGTGGGCCCAATCTAATCACACAAGTCCTTAAAAACAGAGACCCTTTCCCACCTGTGGTAAGGAGGAACCATAACTATGAAAGGTTAAAAGAGAAACAACACTGCTGGCTTTGAAGATGCAGAAGGGGTCCAGGAGCCAAGGAATACTAGCCTCTAGAAACTGGGAAAGCAAGGAAACATTCTATCTACCCTAGAGCCTCCAAAAGGAATGCAGCCCTGCTGATACCTTGATTTTAGCCCAGTGAGACCACTGTTGGACTTCTGTTCTATAGAACAGTTAAATACATTTATGTTGTTAAAGCCACCAGGTTTGCGGTAATGTGTTATGACAGCAACAGAAAACCAATTACATACATTAAGGAAATTAGCCCTTTATTATGATCAGCTGGCAGTGCTACTGCCAGCAATAATAGCCCTATATACATGAGGTTAAGCTACGCTTTGGCTAGCTGAGGCAAAATAGGAACAGATTGTTTTGGGGGAAGTAAGGTGCAGATGAAAGTAGTTTTTCCTTTTCTGACCCTGCCATAGCCCAACTAGAACAAGAAGACATAGGTTCCTTTGCCTATGGCAAGACATCCAGGATGGAAAACCAGGGTTGGATATAAGTGGGAAATGAACGTGAGATTTAGTTTCCAAGATATCTTGGATGAGAAATACTGCAAACACTGTCAGCTCCCCTAGAGGGGAATCTAGTGTAGAACTATCTTGCTTTCCTTCCTTCTTTCCTTTACTGAATCTCCTATGGAGAGATGTCAATATGCCAGACAGAGCACAGGACTTTCCTCTCCATTAACTTGAAACAAGTCAAAGAAACTAAGGAAGTTGTATGCCATCAAGGTACATTATGTCCCATAATTCCTTCCTTTGGCTTGGTTTCACACTATAGTACTTGTCAAACTTCATGAGTTTGAATATTAAAGATACATATGACAGGTAATTAAATACATGCAATAAAACAAAATCATAAAATTTTATAATTTTGAATTAGGTTTTATTAATAACTTAATTTTTAATCTTATATACCTATCTATTGAGGTGGTACAACAGATATACAATAGTAACATATGGTTAAAATATTATAAACCTAACTGTAGAGTACTATAATGTTCTTTACTAACTGAGCACTGACTACTAACTTGCACAGGTTACTCAACTACTGAGTTTCCCTGTCTGTCCATACCCTACAACCTCAGAGGGCTATAGCGTTTTAAAGCATAATCCAATAATGTACACAGAATGCTCTATACAGGGCTCTAATAACATTGGTTATCATCATTATCATGACACTGTCATATAAGTAACACAACTGATAGACTACTGATATTTTAAAATAATAGAGTAATATCAACCCTTCAATGAAAAAATGTTCTATTCTAACACAGAATCTAATATCAGATCAACCAATTCCTCTCTCCAAGGATTTGGTTATTGGTTATTTAAAAATATTAAGCAACCTAAGAATACTTTTCAATACAATCCTAAGAACTTATGCTATGCAACTGTGCATTTATAAAAGTAGTAAGGATCAGAACTGTAATTTTAAGAGATAAAATGCAATAAAACTTACCTATTACTACCACAGGCAAAGTCACTGATGAATCTTCAAGTAAAGAAGTTTCTTCAACTAATGGCATAGCTTTAACTTTTCGCCCCAAATTATCACCAAAATATTGCACTAAGGAATTAAAAATCTCTCCTTCAGTTTCAGGGTCACTATAGTTTCTTTTAAAAGGAAAATATGGAACAAAAACAAAACAACAGATATACAGTCAATATAGCCTTTATAAAAATCTGTCTTTATTCAGATTTTATTTAGGCCATAAAATATTCAATAGTTCCATAAAAGGAGAAAAGGAAATCCTTTTGATTAATGCTTTCAAATTAGTACCTTAGCCATGTCAATGTACACCACTTTGCTAGAAATCCTAAATACAGTGGTCCCTCGGTATCCAAGGGGGGTTGGTTCCAGAACCCCACCCTCACTCCCCAAATACCAAAATCCATGGATCCTCAAGTCCCTTATATAAAATGGCATACTATTTGCATATAACCTACCTATATCCTCCCACATAGTTTAAACCATCTCTAGATTACTTATACCACCTAATACAATGTAAATGCTATGTATGTAGTTGCCTGCATGCAGCCAATTCAAGTTTAGCTTTTTGGAACTTTCTGGAATTTTTTCTTTCCCAAATATTTTCCATCTGCAGTTGGTTGGATCCATGGAGGCAGAACATGTGGATATGGAGGGCTGAATGTAGCTGCTCATGTCTCTTTAATGCCTTGAAGGCAAGTCTTAAATAAGAAGCTATTTTTAATGACCAAAGACATAACATTGTATTAGGGATTTTTATAATTCTGAGATCTCCTAGGACTGGAAAGTTTCTCATTCACTTTTTTCTCATTAATAAAAAGATGAGTGCAATAGAGGTAGTATATTTGGGAAAAAACAGTCACATAATACTTTAAGGAAAAGTTACTGAACTTATATATTACAAATGGTGCATTTTGGTAAAAAAATAAGGTTTATACATCTTATTCTCAAAGAGATACTGAAAAATGCAAAGATCTTAACATTAATTTCCAGTCTACCTTCTTTCCCAACTGCCTCCCTAGAAACTAGTTTTGGCGTTCTGACAAGCTCATGTAATAAATGGAGTATCCTTTGAACACAGTTAGTTTTGCATTATACTAGAGATAACTTCAGAACAGAATTCCTGAATTATTTTTCATTTTCATATAGTCAGAAACAGGCCAATGTCTGAAAATATTAAACAGTACTGACCAGTGGGTGAGTGTGCTTATTACTATTCCTAAAATGATAAACGTGGGAATGGATCAGTTATTTCACAGGACTCACTGATCCTTGGGCGAGGATGACACATGGAAAGAATTAGGCAGAGACCAAAATTTCTGCTTCCCTATAACCTTCCAAGTTCCCAAACTACCCCAGGATAGGGCAGAGTTCCCCAGGATACACTGATAGATTTCCCACCCCCAGTAATTGGGCTCCCCTAACAATACATGGCCCCTTTCGGCCAGAACTGATACCCTTTGGATATGGCTACTTAGGAAAGCCCCTCCTCACATTGCAAGCCTGCCCCTGAAAGAAGTCTTATGCTCAATCCATCCCTTTCAGAGCATTCCAACTCCCACCACTGATCAGATCCAGATGTACTGGCTGTCTTGCCTTCTGCTTCTTGACAACTGAACTCAACAAGGATATATTATACTTGAGCCTGTCCCTGATATTTCTCCAAAGTGTGTGCCCAGGACAGGTTCCCCAGCTTCCTTTGGATGCTTCTGATTAGTCCTTTTAGGTATCCAGGCCTCGTTAATATTATGGTGGTTGTAAAGGCCACAGTTCTTTTTCATGAGATGCAGACATCATGGCCAGTCTCCTCCTG